AATGCCCAATTACTTGTGAAACTGTTGATGGTTTATATCAGCTTAACTGTCAACATTCAGTTAGTCCCAAGGTCTTTCTATCTTTGGAGAAACAAGAATGTCCCTACTGTAGAACTGAAATTAAAAAGAACAGCATGTATTATTTACCACAACAGACAGTATACAATAAGATTCAGCATTATATTACAGAAGATGATCAAGATATTTACAATTCAACTGTTGATAACATTCAGCATTATATTACAGAAGATGATCAAGATATTTACAATTCAACTATTGAAAACAATACAGTTGCAGAAGTATTTGATTGGCATGATAATCTTAAAAAGCAAAAGAAAAAGAACAGAGGGAGAAAGTATGATTCTGGTTTCACCTGGAGAACAATCTGGAAGACAATAACAGCACCAAATGTAAACAAATTGCTTCAAAAGGCTAAAAATGCATATGCAAATGGTAAATTGGAAAATGCTTTAAACATACACTCCCAGATATTACAAGCTTATCCCACAAACTGTATAGCTCTATATAATAGAGCATTGATCAAGCTAAAAATGGGGAATTTTCAAAAAGCTCTGCTTGATATTGAGACAGCAATTGAAGTAAACAATGTTTGTGATAATACTTGGTGCTTGAGTTTACAAATGTATGTGAGTCTTCAAGATAAGGGAAAGGCTGAACAAGTGAATTTTGTTTATGATAAACTTGGTATACAAGAAAGTACATTCAATGTAATTTATAAATTTGTAAACAAACTTGAGCATTTTGATGTAAAATGGTTTAAAGTTCTTGTGGATAGCTACCCTGCTAATGCAATGTATAAATTAAATGACATTGATCAATGGCAAACACTGTGTAACTATCAGTATGAAACAGATGATTACACCAGATGGTACAACACTGCTGTAACCTGGTATAGCAAGTATAACAGTACTCCACGTAATCACACATGTACAAGCGCGTTCTATGAAAAAGTATACTATATGCACAAAAGTAAGGGGTTACACTTGATTGCATAAATTTATATATTATTACGCATGCTAAATTATTTCATATTTATTATCATTATAGGTCATCTAAAAGCACATTTTACATTTGAAAGTCACATTGAATATCAGAGTAGATACGAGTAAGTAATTTATAATAATAGTAATATCTATTTATATTGTTATAAAAATATTGTTACTAATGTTTATTATTTAATAGTAATTATGATTGGGGACATTTGCGCCTTTATTATTATACAGATCATAAAGTAAGTGTTTAATTGTCAATACAAATAAATAGTCTATGCTTTGTACAATGTTGTGAATATTAATTAATAAACAATTGTATATTAGGTAACAATACCCATATTCCAAGTACCTCCAAATAAATACAAACTCGGCATTTTGTTGGAGGATTATTGGACATCAACAACAATAATGGTAAGTATCGGATGAGCATTGCATTGTTGTATTACAGTCTTATTACACAATAAATATAAACATTTAATTTTGTAGGCAACAATAAAAACATCGACTGAAGAAATACAATATAAGATGGACCTTGAATATAACGAATACCGTACTGAATACATTTTACCATGCGCAGTTAACGTTTTGTCTGAAGATGACATTATTATAGAATTTAAATTTGCTAATGACATCAGTGTTGCAAGTATGGTTTATTTATTTCAACGACTTAGTATAAAATGTATTCAATTATTCTAACTTTAACTCTATTATAGCCTGGCATATTTTTTTATTGGGTTTGTTTATATTCGGAAGAAAAGTTAAATACTATGGAACGTAACGTGAAAGTTAAAACATTTCCAAATGGTGTAAAAATCATTGACCATAAACAATGTTGGTCTCGAAATGAGCATTTACTAGTATTATAGGCGTAATTTATATTCATATAACATTGCTTTGTGCTTTACCTGCATCTGGTCTACACATAAACATGATAAGTAAGGGGAAAGCCCCGTAAAATGTTGCCGGAAAACATTTAAAATTCTATCTTCTCCGCAAACGATTATGCTGCATTCAAAATAATGCGATAGAACAAAGACACTATTAGCCGATAAGATTAATTAACATGTCCATACAGTATAGGCAGACGCGAATTCAAACGCAGACGGTTATATTATGTAATCTTGGCGTGTGTTACGTGTATATAAACCAAGTTTGTTTTATTATGGCATCAATATTCTTTATACTCATTACTTGAAAGTCTTGCTTTATATACATAATGCTTACGTTTGAACAAATAAACACACACAGAAGCTTATTCTTTTTTTTTTTTTTGCAAAGGCATAATGTTAAATTGTTGACAAACTTTCTGTTTGATGATTTGCATCCATTAGAAACATTGAAAAAGCGATCAATATTTTACCGTCCATTTTTGGTAAAAACCCCTGACTGCAATAAAACCAGAAAGAGAAAATTTTTTTCATCACCTCAATAAAACCAAAACAAGAAAATTTTTTTCATCGCCTCAATAAAGCAGAAAGAGAATATGCAAAGACGCTATAAAAAAGACAGTAGAGGAAGTTGTTACTTGTCTCTTTGCGGTGATTTTACTTTCTTACCATAAAAACATGTCTGGTGGATTCTTTAAAAAAGTTATAACTTTCTTACAACTTTTCCATTACGATATATTACCGCTTTTTCCTCGTAATAAAGACGCACAGAATAAACTTCCTAAGATTGTTATACAAGTGAGTAAATAAACTTTGTATAATAATATGTAAATAACTGGTACCATATGATGATTGGTGCATTCCCGACCGATGAAGCGAGAATATCGTTAGGTTTTTAGACTTGCATAGGCTTGGGTCATATGGAGAAACCCATATATAACCTGTTAGTCTTGGATTCAACTCCACAAACAAAAACATGGGGGTAACTCTGGGTACCTGTTAGCTCTGTTAGTACTGGCATTCAACTCCAAGGACGCATTGAGTGGTACTCTGGCTTTTTGTCTAGCAAGTTATAGAAATCTGTATGTGGAAACAAAGTTGCTTACAATGTGTAGGCCGCGCAGAAATAGTAACTTTGTTATAATATACTGATGGCACGAGCTCGTGATATTAAAAGTGTTATATTATTAACATGATACTAACATATATATTATATTATATTTTGCACCAGTTTGATATCAGTCTTCGTGATCTAGAAATGTCAATACATACTCTTAGCAATAAAAGAATATGAGTGAGTAGGTTTATTAGAAATCTTTGATTTTCTCTTAGTATGAAGTACAGTACTTATACAAAATGTTAAATTTTTTAGAGTAAATATTTACACGCTGAAGGATTGCATCAAAATTTAAAAGAAGTATCTGATTCGACGTGAAAGCCTTGGTAGTCAGGTAGTAAGTGATGATGCAGGTATCGTGAAGAAATTAGATAACACCGAATATGATTCTTTTATGGAACCGGCAGAGAAAATGAAAACAATTGTGCCTGATATGATTCAGGCAAAATGCAATGAATGAATTTGTGGAGAATTTTTGCTGTAGGGATTTAGATACCTTTGCCAGAGAAATTTAGCCATGACAACACCTGGAAAGAATCATAAGATTAGTTAAGATTGCAGATGAAATTCTTATAATACTCTGTAGGTAATTGTTTTCATAGAAATTGTTCATTAACAAAATCATGGAGCACGTTCTTGGAGTCTCGAATATTCAGCAGTAACACCCCTATCTACACTAAATGCCAGTTTTGGCTTATCACCTCTGACTAGAAAACGATCAAGACTCGCTAAAACTATTAAGCAGGAAAAGCTTCAGAAAAGACAATAACGTTCGAATCAATCAAACAAAATTGCCAGTTTAGCATTATAACTCTGTTAATGCGACCATACTGTACTAGTCAATAAATAAATATAACTTTGTACGAACATTATTACACAATCATAAATCACATTGGCATAAGGCTTGTCAAAGGAATTCACGTTCTAACATTAACAAAGGGCAAAGCCCAAACAATTTAAACTTAAAGATGAAACCACCTATTACCCGATTCGACTCACGACCCACCGCCGCTTGTCGCCTGAACAATATTAATGTGCAAAAGCCGAGTTTGCCGAGAATACTCGATGGAACAAAATGACAAATAGGTTCGACCTTTGAGTTGTATTTTGTCTGCTATGAGAATCTCAAGAGCCTCTTTTCCTGTTTCCAATTTACAAATAACAAATCACAAGCTCAGCAGAAATTATGTTGGGTTGATAAAGAAATGAATTTGACTCCCAAAAATTGCCCATCAGTATCGTCAGCAATAATCCTAAGTTACTAATAATGGTGATGTCATCAATATTGACAATAACCAAAAATAATCCGAGGCAAATGTCCCAAGCAACGCATTGACCGCATCAAGCAATAGAAATATTGGCGGACGGAGAATAAAGATGTTGAATAACCCATCAAAGCCAAGGAATAGGGGCATATCTAGTTTCGTCTTTTATGCGCAATTTGAGTAAAACAGTATAATATCCATAGAAAAAAGTGCCAATTATTGCTAAGAAATCTTGGAACGCGGCGCGGCCTGCTCAAACGAGTTGTCGTCGTCGTCGTCGTCGTCGTCGTCTGCTGACTAATCCCGATTAAGCTATAATAGCAAAAAATGTTAAAGTGTAATGTGAAAGTGGATAATGTAAATGATGAGAGCAAACCAAAGAGAAGACTAGACTGATGTCCCTTGTAATTACGTCTTCCATTTACCTCGTTGAAACAGCAGCCAGTTTGGAAATCGTAAATCTCTCAATGCCGACGAGTACAGAGTGTAAAAAAGCCTGTCGAAAAAAAAAACCGACATTCATAGTTGATAGGTATTAATACATCGCATCCTTCCTGACTCGTCAGCCCTGGCCCCGAAATACAACTTGAAATTCTAACTGACATTGATGCCAATATCGTACTGCTTGCGACTGTTGTACATGCTAATGATGCATTGCTACTCCAATTCGCTGATGAAGAACGGTAGAGTCAGAATTCTTGGCTTAGAAATATTTGCGCAAATGAAGTAGAACTACTCTTTTAGTTTTAACTTACCGACAAACCACAGTGCACAGAATACTTGGCAGGCAGTCTAACGTACAATCATCATCCCCAAACATAATCACGTTAATACCCCATCAACCAAACATCCCAATACTTGACTCACATTCCAGCTTCACATTTATTAAGGTATAACTACCTCTCTCGTACTCGAGTGGGTTCTGGGCTGACTTTGTACATCAAGAGGATCGAGAAATGTTTGTCTCTCAGAAGACGTACTTGGTGATGCATAAAGTAAACAGGTGTCGTCATCTATGGTGGAATAATTATGGACATGTGCTAAAGTATGCGAGTATGCTACATGGAAAAGATAGGAGGTTAGTATTGGTGATATTTCAAGTATTCGATCAAACTAATGCTTGAAAAAAAACCCCCCACGTACATTTGAATCATTGATAGACTCTTGAGAGCTCCTCGAAGCTGTGTCGTATAAAACATGATTGAACTCTATTATACAGGTGTGAAAAATAGAGAATTGGTATTTACATTACATGCCGCTAAACACTTCGTGAAGGCCCTTCCTGCAAATTACCTTTGTTTTATCAGCAAGGTCGTCGTCAGCAAATAAACAAAAAGATCAAATACAATGAGAATGAAGCTGTGCTGGTATACGTTATTGCAAATGGTGTATTATAGTCTGAGAAAGAGAATACTGTGTTAAAGTTGTTATTAAAACTGCGCATACATTCATCAAAAATGAAGATCCACTACACCTCACATATTCCTATAATGTAACACCGTCGACTTACTAATTCACAAGATCCGTTGGGATAAGCAAAGTGTGACTGTGTAACTAGACAGAGCGATGATGTTAATAAGAACATATAAAATAAGAACGATAGCAATAACAGAATTATAATATTAATACAACTTTTCCAATTGCACACTTTTATTATGTTCTTATCACTATCGGGAACTAATAATAATGGTAGCAGCACACATGGGACAATAAAATGTTGTTAGCATGTTACACCATGCATATAACATGACACAGCGAATTTTTAGCCAATAGGAATAAATAGTAAGAATCTTCGAAAGATATCCATCAAGTAACAAGTGATTACTCTGCACAATGGCATACGAGGTATAGAAAAGCAAACATATGCTAAAATACTCCATTTTCTCATCTATTAACTATTACACATTACATTGTAGGAAACTGAAAGCTCAATTCTCTTTACGGCTGACTCGATGAGCTCTAGCTCAACAACCGGCTATTACCATGCAGCAGACGCAGTGAGTGCTCCGAGTGCTCCTTCAATGACACCTTCAACTCAAGGCAGTTTTCCGAAAATTATACTTCAATTAATGGAACAAGGGCTTATGTCAGCAGATGAGCAAATAGAGGAATTGTTAACAGGCTTGAAATATTCTCGGAATATTTACGCACTCAAATACATTCTCGAACATAATGGAGATTCTGTGTCAGTGGATATGTTAGAAACTGCTTTGGAGAGTCTATGTTCTCAAGAATTTAATAATGTTTTTTCAGAAGAAACGACTATTAAATTGGAATGGAGATTACGTATTATTGTAACAATACTGGAGCAGATGTCTCGAAAAAAGTGTCAATTTACACATTCGTTTATTGATGGTATTAGACAAGCATCTTCCAAGTACAAGGATGCACATTCAAAGGTTATGCAGTATGGAGGAGAAACCTGGAAACTTAATTTTGCAGAACCTAATGAATTAGACAAAACTACCAAAGATTTCAAATGCAACTACAATAGCAGATACCTTCTCAAACTCATTGATAATACATTAAATACTGTTTTTAGTGTTGAAAATCAATATCAGACAATTATTGATCGGGCCATTACAGCATTAAAAGGCTTGTTGCTGTTCCTGGATTAGCTAAAGTTGGTATTAAGTTAATTATAGGAGTTGAAGTTCCCCTTGGTGATTTTGACATAGAGAGATCCTGGAAATATTTCAAACAAGCATTCAATATTGAACCATTAGGTAAGCCATGGTATGCAACCTGGAGGCAGCTTATGATATTACAAGACTGTCTTGACAAATGGTATCAACAAAAAGAGTCTGCCATTTCAGTGAGTTTTAAAGAAAGAGTGCTTCTTGAGTATCTCTGGTATCATATCAGTTTATGTTATGCTGAAGATGCAGCAGAGAATCAAGATGTTAGTGATGAACTCTGGTTTGGCATTTTGGATATTACTCAGCAACTTGTACAGAAAACATTTTCTACAACTACACAGGCTATTTGTTATTATATGACACTAGACTCGTTGAATAATGCTGTCACTGAATCTATTCAATTCAAATCCATTGAAGTGTTATTGAGTCTTGAAGTCAAGAATAGTGAATTGTTTGTTACAACACCTGATGATATTGCCAGCTGTGATGAAAAATATATACCAATATTGATCAGCATATACTATTACTTGAAAAAAAAGTTGGAAATTGAATCAAAATGATTTCAGAGTACTCACCTGACAAAATAATGACAAGTGCTCAAAATGAGAAACAACAAGACAAAGGGAAAGGGAAAGGTGTTGAGAAAAATCCAATTGACTTTATTGCAGAAGATCTAACATGTGCTATTGTTTGTGAAGCAGTTGGTAACTTTTATCAGCTTAATTGCCAACATATTATTAGCTCAAAGGCTCTTTTATTATTAAACAACCTTGAGTGTCCTTATTGCAGAAGTGAAATCAAGAAGGATAAAGTGTATTATTTGCCACAACAAACTATATACAACAATGTTCA